CTCTTACTCTGCCCCTCTCTGATCAAATTAAAATAACAAACAAACAAACAAATAAATTTAAATAAAACCACTACCAAAATATCAGCTAGTCAAGAATTCCTATGTAGGCACCAGCAGTTAGCATAATGGCTATGTTGCTGGACTCCCATGTAGTTGACTGTGGTTCGAGTCCTGGACCCGGTGGCTTAAACTCACGCCAGGCGCGTGTGGGTGCGTGCCCAAGATCCCAAGAGGAGAATGGAGGAGAAGGGATTGCGGCATGGCCATCCTCCCTGGGGGTGATTTCTTGCTTTCTGTCTGTCTGTCTGGTGAGCGCACGCGCCCTATAGCAAAAACCTCTCCAAAAAAAGGAAAAAAAAAAAGAATTCTTGTGTAGAGAGAGATTGAAACATTTACCTTCTCTCCCTTTGAACATCTCCAGAATGGTAGTAAGGGGTCATTGGAGACACCGCAAACAGGTGAGGAGACAAAACCATAAAACCATGGAAGTTAACAGATGGAAACAAACTTGTCAGGCCCAAAAAGGCTGAAGTTAAGCTGGCTGCTGCTAAAAGGCTCAGAAATTGGAGACCCATGTGCCTTGAACAGACAATGAAAAAGTAGCTAAAGGGACCACCAGGTTGCAGCATGGTGGCTATGGTACCATGGTACACGGGGTTTGATTATACTCTTCTACACTCGAATACAGTTTGAACTTTGCTTCATGAGATGTTTTTATAAGCAATAGCAATTAAGGTTCCAGATCCTTTCCCCTACGTTGCAAGATCAGTCATGTGTCTTCCATGCAGCATTAGCCCAGAAGTTTACTTTGTAAAGGGTATGACAGAGGGTCTATGGAGTAGGAAGTAGCCAAGAGAGAATTGAGGGTGAGTAGTATATTTCCCACTTTGACATGGGCTTTGTGAAGTATCTTTAAGAGGTCCCTTGGGAACCAGCAGTTAGCGTAATGGCTATGTCGCTGGACTCCCACGTAGTCGACCACGGTTCGCATCCCAGACCCGGTGGCTTAAAACTCATGCCGGGCGCGTGTACATGTGTGCCCAAGATCCCAGGAGGAGAATGGAGAAGGGATTGCGGCGTGACCATCCCCACTGGGGGGTGATTTCTCGCTTTCTGTCTCTCTCTCTCTCCCTGTCTGGCGAGCGCACACGCCCTATAGCAAAAACCTCTCCAAAAAAAAAAAAAGAGGTCCCTTAATGTGAAGTTTGCAGGGCCAGGCAGTGGTACAATAGTAACATAACTGTATCCACACAAGAAAGGTCCTTGGTTTAAGTCCTAAGACTTCCCTGAGCACCCTGGGTGCACATGTTCAATGCCCACTTTGGGCCAGCTGGAACAGAATGGATTGTGACATGAAGACCCTGTTGGGGGTACCTCTCTCTCATAGAAGAAATAACCCTTTTAAAGTTATTTTAAATGTGAAGTTTTAGCTAATGCCACTTCTTCTGGAACTTTTGCATTCTTCATCACAATCTTTCCTCATTATGCTGGTAAGTTTGTGTTCATCTAACTTCCTCTGGCTGCCTGTCTGGAATCTCAAACAGCAGCCTTGCCAGGCAATGGTATGTGCCGGTAATTCTAGCTACTAGGGAGGCCGAAGCAGGGAGATGTTGAGTTTGAGGCAGCCCAGGGAATATATGGAGAACCTGTAAACACACAAACAAATTTAAAAACAACCAGCAGCCTCATCAATCTTCCCGTAGTCAAATGCAACTGTTTATATGTGATTTGAATCCTGCATTACTTGCAGCATAGTTAAGTTTTGGCTATACTAAATATTGTTCTTTTCTGTCATGATGCCTCTGATTTCTTCCACATCTCTCTTAAAGAAATTACATCTGAGTTAGCCAGTGGTATGATGGTTCAGGCAGCTGGATTCCACATGGTCAACTGTGTGGTTCAAGTCCTGTAATTGGCAGCTTGAAAAACATACCAGGTTTGTGAGCATGCATGCTCAAAATCCTGAAAGGAGAAATGGAGAAGGGCTTGCAGTGTGGCCATCCCCTATGGAGGTACTTTCTCTCCCCCACTCCCTTGGTAAGCACATGTGAAGTCTGGCACATTAAATAATGAAAAAGAAATTACATCTTTGGATGTAGAATCCGTAGCCTACCCAAAAGCCCACCCAAGATAATAAGCCCTAAAAATTGAGATAACTTCTGTATCCATTGTCTGCATTAATTAGCTGTTTAATAGTAAGAAGTATGTGAGGTTAAGTTGCTGGATCCCACATGGCGACTGAACAGCTCAAGTTCTGAACCTAGCAGATTGAGAAACTTGATGGGCATGTGAGTGCATGTATGCCCCAAATCCCAAGAGTAAAAGTGGAGAAGGGACTGTGGTGTGACCATCCCCCATGAGGGGTGCCTTCTCTTTCCTTCTGTCTCCCTCCCACTCTCAGGGAGCAAATTTAAAAAAAAAAAAAAAAAAAGCTTTAAGCAGCATCTAATGTCTTTAATGCCTACTTTCTTTTTCTAAAAGCGAATAGGGCTCTAACCAATGTATGTCCCTACTCTTTCGGAGACATTATTAACTGTGAAAATAAATCCCCTCTGGTCCCTTCCTAGCTCTAGGGTTCCCCTTCCCCAGGTCTAGCTGCTCTTTAGAAAGAAACACATCCTTGGCCTGTTTTCTTAGCTGTCCTCACCAGCCAGGAGGAAAATGCCGAAGACACTGTTCTCCAATCACAGGGCTCTGAATCACAGGATCTGGGCTCATGTGAAGTCATACAGCCAGCAAGAACAGAAGCCACTAGAAGTCGAGGGTCTCTTCTCAAACCCTCAGCTCAGGGCTTCACATTCAGTTGCCCTTTAACATAGCGTCATCCTTCCTCAAAAGTCAAAGCTTTGAGTAGCCAGCCTCGAAAGCAACTAATGTCCTTCCTCTGCTAACATAAGAGTATTGGGACAGTCCTGGGAAAGTACAAAAGTTCCCCATCATCTACAGAATAAGGGGAAAGTTTACTACAAAAGGCCCTAAGGAGAAAATGTAAATAAGCTCAGTACAGTGCTGGACGTTAAATGGTGAGCATTTGTTGACAGTTCTTAAGCAAAATAATTCAACTAACCAGACACAATGGCATGCTCCCACTGAGTGGTCTAATCTGTCTCAGGCACAGGTCAGACTAGGCAGTTGTTCTATGCTTTGTATCTTTAACTTAGCATGTGCTGTGAGAAAGAAGGGGTGAAAGGAGGGACTCGGCCATGCCACAATCCCCTTCCTCGAGTCCTCTGTGCACCAGGATCCTGGTGTTTTCAAGCCAACCAATCTGGGGACTCAGGAGTGGTGTGTGGCTCCTAGCTCTGTACACCTGTACACTAGTACACTACCTACTGTGTCAGAGAGGCTGGGGCCTAAGTTGGCTGTTAAAACCTTAATAAACTCAAAAGCATCATCCTGCAACCTTCAAAACAGGGGCCATTAACCTAATTTGCAAAGAAGTGTACTTTGTTTTAAGCAAGAGTAAAAGAGGTTAACAACATAACTGAAGAACCCAAGACTAAGAACTTTTTTTTTTTTTTTGAGAGGTTTTTGCTATAGGGCGCGTGCGCTGGCCAGAGAGAAAGCAGGAGAAACCACACACACCCGCCCCCCGGCCCCAGCGGGGATGGCCAGGCCTCAATCCCTTCTCCATTCTCCTCTCGAGATCTAGGGCATGCACGCACATGCGCCCAGTGTGAGTTTAAGCCCCCGGGTTCGGACACGAACCACAGTCGACTAAATGGGAGTTCAGCGACATAGCCATTACGCCAATTGCTGGTCCCAACTAAGAACGTTTTCTACAAGCACAAACACCCACACTTTTAACTTTCCTTGTAACATCAAAGCTAGAAATAATCTACAGAAAGTAAAATAGTCCAAACAGGAAAACTTCGGCTGTTAACAATGAGTAGGGGCCAGTCCCATAGACTAGTGGCTAAGGAACCAGATCCCACATGTTTGACCAGTTTGAACCCCAGCTCTAGCAGCTTGAAAAACACACTGGGCACATGTGTATGCTAGCCCAAAATCCCAACAAGATGGAGAATACAGGAAATTGCAATGAGACTACTTCCCACTGTGGGGGGAGAGGGTGTTCTCCATCTATGGTGAGCATACACACCATCTAATAAAAAATTAAAAAATCAGAGGCCCAGCCATGACATACAGGTAGCACCACCCATGAGACTAGAAACCACATGGAGGCCTGCATTCAGTTTCCAAAGGCACCTGTACTAACTGGGCCCTGGAGCAGGAAGATGAGAGTCCCTGTCAAAAACTTCACTCCCTTGCTTTATGCAAAAGAAAGAGATTTGTGTTTTCTATGTGCTAACATGAAAATATCTAGGCTGGGAACCAGCAGTTAGTGTAATGGCTATGTTGCTGGACTCCCACGTAGTCAGCTGCGGTTCGCGTCCTGGACCTGGTAGCTTAGAACTCACGCCGGGCGCATGTGCGTGCGTGCCCAAGACCCTGAGAGGAGAATGGAGAAGGGATTGCGGCGTGACCATCCCTCCTGGGGGGTGATTTCTCACTTTCTGTTTCTATGTCTCTCTCTGGCGAGCGCATGTGCCCTATAGCAAAAACCTCTCAAAAAAAAAAAAAAAAAATCTAGGCTGTGCTGGCAAAAAACACTGCCAAATTGCTATAAAAGTCCTTAGGGAGTATTGTCACATGTATCTTGGAATCACAAAAAACAAGAGGGAATAGGGACCTTTAAGTTGGATAGTAGCTCTCATTTTTTTTTTTAGTTATTTATTTATTTAAACTTGACCAGAGAGGGACAGAGTGAGAGAGGGAAAGTGAGTGAGAGGTGGGGAGTGGGGGGGGGGGCGCGAAAAAGCAAAAGCAAACCACCAGGTCCAGGACTCAAACCACAGTCAGCAGTCAACCACGTCAGAGTCCAGAGCCCTTAGCCACCACGCTACCTACCAGCCACTCTCACTTGTTAAGAACAATATAGGGCTAATTATGAGGAGCCTCAATGATTGAAATGTGAATAAAAACCATGAAAACAAATGTTCTAAAAATGTAGGCTTTTTTATTCAGTTAGAGGTAGACAGATGAACATGGAAGGCTGTCCCATTTAACTTGCCCAAATTTCATATTCCACTTCATTCATCCATCCCACGCTGCCAGAAATAATCTTAAAGAAATAATCAAGACTGCCAAAAGGCTTTTCTCTTCCTACTTCTTTTTTAGCAATAATAGTCAATGAATTGCTCGCAAAGAAGTTACTACTAACTTAAATTCTCACTGTGCCCAAAGGACCTGGGGTTCCTCCAAGAAGTTCCCATATAAGTCAATAGAACCTGTCACTACTGACAGGAGGGCAGAGTACCAACAGCTCTATTTCTCTAGGAGACTAAAGGGAAGCTGCGGTGACATCTTGTTGTTAAATCCCTGTGCTGTGTTAGGGCGGAAGCTGGTGAAACCCACAAAACAGAGCACTCTGTCAAATGGCTCTTTATGGTTGTTTTAAAAAAAATAAATCACAAGTTATCTTCAGCGACAACATTAAACATAATGGAATTGAAGCCTGATACAAAAAGTAGAGAAATATGTACAGGAATTCACAGCCCAAAAGGAAAGGGAACCCCAGTAGGAACCAGTGGAAACCAGGTTATTTTACATAGCTAATTTTGAGACAAATCAGGTTTAGCACAAAAGCAATTATAGCACAAGTAACACTTCCCCTCCCACAGCTCCCTGTAAAAGACTCGTCGGTCTTCAGTAAGGTCTTCAGTAACACTGCTATTGTTCTTCCAAGGGAGCAGGAAAGAGCGAGGTGGTCCCAAACATTGACACGAGTTTTCATCTTTGACAGCTTCACGCTTTGAGGATGACGAATTTGAAAACTGCCATGATAGCAGCACTGATGACGCCAGAAATGGGGACTGTGACAAACCAGGCCATAAAAATGTTGCGAAAGAGTCGCCAGTCAACAGCCTTCTTGGATCGGAGCCAGCCAACTGATACCACAGAGCCCACCTAGAAGGGAAGCAGACCAAGTGACCTGGTTACTAGTGCCAACGACATTCTGGTAAGCAGACACCTGAGGCTATTTAAGCAAGAAGCCTCAGACGACTGGACAAGATCATTTTCAGGAAAGCTGGTTTATAACAGGTTGAGTTTACTCATGAGAAGATGAAGGCAATATAAACATGCAATTATTAATCTGTGCTAATTGTGGTAAAATAGGAGAACATCACGTCCCTTTTTGAGCTAGCAGTTTAGTGAACATGTACTGCATCTAATCATAAATTAAGTTCTAAGTTTTCCAAAGATCCTTGAAGGAGTGGCTGACATTACCTAATCTATGACTGCCTGGAGACATCCTGGTAGAAAAAGAATGACTCAGCAGGCTCCATGAGGGGCCAGGAGGCCTCAAACAACCTAAGACTTAATGCTTCTCAGGAGTTCAATCCTGAGAGGTCGTAAATATATACACTATCTGCAAATAAACTGCCATCGCAACGAGACTTGTTAAAATCAGGGTTCAGCCACAGCTGGAAGCAAATACCTATCTTGCCAGAATTTCACCGCTGGCTAGCGTATTAGCACACACTCAAACTACTCTGAATGGCTTCCACAAAGAACCTAACAGTGCTTAGTAGAAAGTTTGATTTTTTTTTCCTATTTGCTAAGGGGGATGTGCACTTGCTGGGGGAGGAAGGAGAGAAAATGAGAAAGCACCCCCCATGGAGGCTGGCCAGACCACTATCCCTTCTTCTCCATTTCTCCTTCAAGGAGACACACACGTGTACCCAGCATGCTTTTCAAGCTGTGGGAGCCAGGAATCAAGCCATGAACTTGGTCATATGGACTCTAGCCACCTTAATCACATGCCACTGGCTGGCCAAAGAAATTATGACTCTTGAGATTAAACAAACAAACAAAAAAATTAAAAAGCAATTGTAATGAAAGATTAAGTAACAAAGAAAAAGGTTAGTAGCCAGAAATCATAGCACGGTCTACATTAAGGAACTTTCCCATCTTCTGAAGAGAATATGTACTTTAATGCTTACAAATCAGAACAGGCACAAGAATTTATAAAATGTAAGCCTTTATTCTTGTAGTCACTTCTAAACTTGTGAATTCTTTAAGACTCAACTGAACAAACTTTCTAAATCAAAGTACCAGAGAAGTAAAATTAAAAACCTTACGTATTACTAGAACCATTCAGAAGGTAAACACTGCATATAATTACACTTACTTTACAATGTGTTGTACTGATGGGAAGGCCAATATTTGAAGCAATTACCACAGTGAGGGCAGATGCCAGTTCAATACTGAAGCCACTAAGACACAAAAAGATTCTTGTCAAGAATTTAGCTTGATTTTTTTGGATAAGCTCACACTACTTCAAATTAACAAAAACCTGCTTCGTTCCACTGAGTGACAAAACGTCCAGAGATCTTGATTTGCTACAACTCCTGAAATCTACTTTAAAATCAGAAAATGAGACTCTTCCTTTCCCTATTCTCTAACATTTGAAATTTTAAGTTCTTCTGGAAGCCCATTATGCACTTTAATTTTCAAAAATTTGATAAACATCAGCCTTAGCTGAAAGTAAAGACAAATATAAGCAAAATATACCTAGTTATTCATTCTCAGCACACATACCTTTCTCATAAGATATTTTAAGAGACCTCTGGAACTGAATGTGTAAACGTCTGTTTAAGTGCCCCCCAAAATTAAATAAATAAAACCTAAAAAGTTTACACAACAATGAGAACTATACCAACTTAGTTATTTTAATTCAAGATATTCGAATGTCAGCATTATACAGTATTATCTCTTTAAGAGAATGAGCGTTAGCCACTAATTTCCGCACTCACCTGGAGGGTGTGATTGGTGTCAGGTCCTTTCCCATGGTCTGGATAACTCTTCTTCCCCATACCCACAGACCAGTACAGATACCAACACCACCATAAAGTAAAAGCCAAATTCGTGTTGCCACTTTTGAAGAAACTTCTCCTCTGTCATAAACCAGATATAAAGCAACCAGAGGACCGATGGCATTGCTGCAAGAAAAGAGGGCAAAGATGACTTTTCAGGCAGAGCTACTAAGGTTCAGTTTATTAAGTGACTTACTAGGTTATCTAAGGAATAGCTTCAAGCTCATTTAGCAAACACACCTATAAACAACTCCCCAACATACACAACAGAAGAGAACATTCTTTGGCTCCGATGAACAGCTTACAAACCACACAACTAAAGTTAGGCCCTAGAGTCATTCTGCAGGGTAGTAACTGAAACCCCACAATTTACTACTATAAGAACTAGATTCTGTAGTGATAGACAAAAGGCTTCTCTGTGCAAGAAACTGGTTTATATTTATCAACTACAGAAACAGTGAGATTTTATTGTGTTACTTATCAAGTCAATAACTGCTATTTTCTCATCCTTTCTTTTCTCATCTCTGTCCTGCTCATGGTATGAGTACCACTACCACAAGTACAGGACTATAAAAAGATAAGCTGATTTAAAAATAGTCTGTAATGCCAAGATTCAAGTCAACTGACCTGACGTCATTGCCACCGTGGGCAAATGACCCAAAGCAGGCTGTGAGGATTTGCAGGAATTGGAATAGGAGAGAGACTTCAGGCTTGTCCTGGTCGTACCATTCTTCTAAAGAGCCGTTACTTCCTTTTCTGTCTCCCAGACCCATCTCTGCCTTGACACTCATGTCTATCTCAGAGGCCGAGTGAAGGTCAGACACAGCATTGCAGTAACTGGTGTAACTGTCCATTCGGATTCGCTTCTTGGTGTCTGCGGTGGGCCATGTCAGCTTCTCCATTTCTTCACCCTTCTGTTCACCTTCTTTGGCACGGAATGAATCCAAAGGCATGCCACATATTGCCATGGTGTAGGATGTATAGCTGTTATTGCGCCTCAAAGGTTTGTCGCCAGAGTCTCCCATGCAGTCTCCCACCTTGGCAAGATGCAGTTTATGGAGCAGCTCTTTGTACAAGCCAGAATCTTTGTGCACGGTATGATACTGATAGTGGCCACTGGAGTTGATCTGGTTGCTGACGACTTGATTAAACTGAACAAGGTTCCCATTAGGTAACTGCACTGCACCTAGCCAAGACCAAAAAGGTAGCCTTCAATACAAAGGGCATCGATTCTAAAAGAGCCAGCCTCCTCAGCCCTTCAGATACCAAGCAGAACTCCAGGGACTGACTCACCATTCATGGAGCCATCTATGTTGGTTTCCTCTTTCAGGTCAATGCTGGGGAGCCTCTCTCGCTCTGGAGCTTCCTCCAAGTCTCCAAGTTTGAATGAGACAGTCCTCTCTTCCACCACAGCCCGGAGCGGTGCAGTGGCAGACCCTACCTCAGAAATAGGACTCCTGCTTTCATTATCACTGAGGGACAACTTTGTTTCTTCATGGTCTTCTTTCAAGCTATTCTTTTTTTCCATTAAAGGACTTTCTGAAGGACTGGATTTTATCTCTCCTGGAGGAAAAAAGGTTTTTTTTTGTTTTGTTTTTGACAATATTATACCTTATTCCCTATTGCCCCCTTTTTCTCCTACCCCAAAAATCCACCTCAAAATAAGAGCATATGTGGTCTTCAACTAAAATTCTGGGTAATTTTCCTGCTGGTTTTATACTTGCCAGCAACGTATCTCTCACATGGGAACAAACCAGGAATGCAGAAATCCTCTAAGGGTTCACAAACTTTTTCTGTGAAGGCCCAGCTGGGAAATATTTTGTTTTTTGTGGGCTATGTTACCTATTTTTACAACCCTTTACAAAAGTAAAAATGTTTCTTGGCTCCCTGTCAACTCACTCTAGTGAAAGGTTGGTCAAGCATGGGACTGATAAAGGGCTGAAATACAAACTGTACCTAATTTATGTTCTTTAAAAAAAAAAAATCTCAAGCCAGTCCACAGTGTAGTGATTAAGGCAGCTGGATCTGACAGACAGACTGCACTATTACAAGTCCTAGACTTGATGGCTTGAGAAACACACTGGGCACGTGTGCACGCACTCAAATCTCGAAATAGGGAGATGGAGAAGGGAGTGGGACTTGACCATTCGTTGTGATGGCTGCTTTCTCACTTCCTATCTCTCCCTGGCAAGTGCATGCACCCTCTGGCTAACTAAAATAAGAAAGCAGTGTCCTAAACTTAAGTCCAGGAGTTCAAGCAAATATTTAATTGCAAATGTAGGCAACTAAAGATGACTTTTTTTTATTTTGGAGAGGTTTTTTTGCTATAGGGCACATGCGCTCCCCCAGGAAGACAGAGACAGACAGAAAGCGAGAAATCACCCCCCAGGGAGGATGGCCATGCCGCAATTCCTTCTCCTACAATCTCCTCTCAGGATCTTGGGCACGCACGCACACCTGGCCTGAGTTTAAGCAACCGGGTCTGGGATCTGAACCACAGTCGACTACATGGGAGTCCAGCGACATAGCCATTACGCTGACTGCTGGTCCCCTAAAGATGACTTTTAATTTCCACTCCTATAAAACAAAAAGATATGCCTGATGGTTCTAAGGTTCATGACCAGCCAGGAGTATTTTCTGCCTCTCAAGCTAGTGCTCAGTATGTTGACCTGCCCAGTCACCTCAGACAAACTACCCACATTAAAGCAAGATTCATCTAATCTTTTCCCAGACAGAGAGAAAAAGGAGGGCAGCAAGTCCTGAAAGCCTCGTTCCCACTGTGCCCTCGGCACAGCCAGACCAGCAGAGCCTCTCGCAGGCTCCCTGGATCAGCTGTGGTGACACAGCATTCTTCCAAATGCTACTGCGGTCTGTGCAGTGCTCAGCTTCTAAAGAATGAATTTAATCTAACCTCATATTTGCACAGATAAAAAGGATAAAAGATAATTTTTAAAAAATACCTTAGCCACAAAAAAAGAGAAATACAAGATCTTACTTGGTATTTAATTATACTATGCTAACATGTAACAGTCCCAACAATTCCTTCACTTAACACTTGAAAATGTTTACTTTTAGAATGTGCTATAATCCGAACACAAATACAATGCGTATTTGTATGTGTGTCTGCCCTGTACAGTATGTGTTATATCTAATACCATATGTGTACATGGACTGCCCCCGTGCGCAGCGGTTAAGCACCATGCATAAGGAGTATCCCATATGGTCAACCACGGTTTGAATCTAGGCCCTGATGGCTTGAAAAATATGCCCAGCATGTGTGCGTGTAAAGCCCCAAATCCTTGCTCCTAGGATGGAAAAATGGAGGAAAAAGGATTGCAACATGAACCATACTCCATTAGGGAGTACTTTTTCTTAGCTTCAGCAATTTAAAAAAAAAAAAAAGTGTACAGTACATATATAGTATATGTATAGCTAAGGTCGAATATACACATTAGACCTAGCTTTGTCTAAATGTGAAATTAAACACACAACTAGTTGAGGCAAATATTTCCCCAAAAGATATTTTATATCTACCCCCCCTTATTTTTCAATAAGATATCCTCATACTTCCAAATTAATGTAGGCTATGTTTTCCTTATTTATCACATCACTGGCAACTGACCAAAGCACATAAAGAATATTCTTGTAAACTTCATCTGAGGTCATTTAAGTCCATGTATAAGAAACTCATATACTCAAATTTCATTTTAAAAATCTCTTACTTTGCCAGTCTTTCTAAATAGCGGTTTTACAGGTGGACAAGCAAGAATAAGCACAACATTACAAGTTAAACTTAGCTGCTACAAGGCATTACTTACGTTCAATTTTTCTCTTCATCCTGGGACATACAAAGAACCAGACGATAAGGGCACAGAAAACTGCACATCCCACCGAGATGAGGATGGTACCCCACAGAGGAAGTTTGTCAAAGCCCAGCACTAGGAGATAAAATGGTGCATCTTGAAAACCCCAGGGCGAAAGCCCCCTGCAATAATGTGTAAACCCTCCTCTGGGGACTCTGAAGGGTTCCCCAAGCTACCCATCACCCCCGACATCTGCTGCCAGCTCTGACTGTATGGAGTTTACTGCACTAGCAGCAATACAAACCAGGGAGGAAAAGTCAATATTCATCTTAAACGCACACCAACATGGCCCACCTAAACATTTGTTAGGTTCAACTAGCCTAGACTTTCTCACATATTAGCCTTTTCAGTTCACTTTAGAAGACAGTAAGGATCACAATTCTCTGAAAATCTAAACTTGCTATGGAGAGAAAAGCACCCCCACCCCAGCTCCTGATCTTACCTGCCATATAGTACATTTGCACACAGAGACTTATCGTTAAAAAAAAAAAAAAGGTGCCCCAGCAATTACATTTGCCATGCTAATATAATTCTCTGTGAAGTTATTACATCCATTGCTCCATGTCACTAAAATCCTTTAACAAGACTACCTCTTTAAAACAGTTTAAAACTAAGATACAGAAAGCAGGGATATTATTTACTAAAAGTTAAGTTTAAAGAACAGCTTAAACAGTTTTTATCTTTCACAAAGAGAAAGTTTAGCAATAATTTTACTAATTGAGGCAAATAAGCCAGATCTCAAAAAGACCTGTCTACCAATACTTTTCACATGGCTCAAGGATCAGCAATACTAGTCGCCATCTGCTTGTCACGTGCCAAGAACAAAAGCAAAACACTCCGCTACCCCACTTACGTCTAAGTCTTACAAAAGCTGTTACAATGGTCTGCAGTTTACCCAACAAGTTCAGTTACTTGTGCTTTATTTTAACTAGATACTACTTATAAGTTGGAAATTCTATTGCCCCCAGCAATTACTCATCTTTAAAAATCAGATATAAATTGAGATCTCTTCGAAATTACAGTCCTCTATGGGCTGGTCCCATGGCAGAGTTAAGGGAGCCGGATCCCACATGGTTAATCATGCAGTTCAAATCAAGGCCCCTGAGGCTTGAGAAAACACACTAGATATCCTGTCATGCCCCAAATCTCAAAAGGATGGAGAACTGCAAGAAGCTGCAGCATGACCATGCCCCCTTTGGGAGGGGAGGTGCATTCTCACTTCAACCTGTGAGTGCATGTGCCCTCTGAACGAATGTTCTAAAAACTATAGTTTTCTGCTTTAAAATTTGATCACATACATATCACACAAACTAATATATATATATGAAGATAATCCTTATCACAAGTTTGTCTATGTTCCAGGTTAACAGGGGACATGCGACTGGATATTCTTATAAATGATTCCTTAAGGCAGAACAAAAATATCAAAGTTCCTGTTTTCAAAAATGAAGTTTCTAATTTCATTTAACTATGAGCTTTGCTGCTGCCACAGAAACCATGAGTGCTCAGAGCCTCGGGGAAGGCTTTTAGGTTAGTATAAACTCAATTTACAAAGGAAGGAAACTCAACATATAAGCTTTTCACCACCTGGTAGAGTCTAGGAACCCCCTAAGTAAGATCAATATCCTCATCAAGTTGTCTGTTTCCTGATTATCCCAAGGTTAAAAATAAAGACAAGGTTAAAAATATGTAGCCAATTCCAATTTTGCTCAGTGACTTACTACTTCAGAGAAGTTTTAAGAAACAAGTCACAATCCATTACCCAGAAATGAAATCAATTTAGTGGGCCACAAGTGAGTATTAAAAAAACTAAAAAGCCTATTTGAAAACATAAGTGCATGGCACACAGCAATGGCTTCATGACACTCTTCATGTGCCCCCCCCATATATGTGAACACGAACATGCATGTGAGTCCTGAGCAGCAATGCACAATTTCTTCCAGTGAGTCACAGTCAACAGATCAAGTCACTGACTCTGCAGTCACGGCCATCAAGCCAAATGAGCCTATACACCGACACTGCACTGCCCTGACTAACGAGGTAACAAGTTACCCATCTTGTGTAGTCGCAGATTAAACAGAGTGCCATAATTTAATCCGTGCCTTGCCTTAGTCCCAACATTTCACTGTTTATATTCTCACAAATTATTTTTTCCTGTAAGCTGCATGAATTCTTCTTCCAAGTGCACTTAGGCCAGGTGTTAAACATGCCAATTCTTCTCATTCAAGCAGATTCAGGGGAGTAAATTTAGTACTTAGAAGCAAAAGTAGCTCCATTTGGGAGAGAAAAATAATATTCAGCAAACCAGTCCTAAACGACTGATTATTGAAGACCAGATATAGCTAATGACTCTTCAGTAGTTGAGGTATCAATTCCAGTATTTTTAGCATAGATAGAATAAAAGGAAGAAGATATTATCGGTGGATCCTGTGAAGACTAAAGAGGAAAGGTCTGTAGTGATTTAGAATCTGAGCAGGTCTCTTTGGTTGAAAAACTATCTAGGTTAACTCAGCATACACTAGCCTGCAGCCTTCTGAAATGGGCGCAGGCCAGCCACCTTCTAGGAGATTTCAGCCCTGAAAAGCAAAAAGGGGTAAATTGGGCATTTAATGCAAGTTTTGTAAACAACTTTAAATTCACATTTAAATATTTTAGTATGTACTTACACGGTGCTCCAGTATACATGATGGAAAAGAAGTTTATTCCAATTGTGCAGGCATAGAAAACTGGCAAAGCTCGCAAACCATTAGGAACTGGATCTGCCTGTAAAACATAACTAAGATTAATATCTTAAAAGCTAAAAGTTAATCCATCTACACAGAACCTTGGAGGTACCAAAAATTCTTTATTGTAGTCTCCAGAGCCAGCTGGGTTTTTCCTGCATCTGTTCCTCAGGTTTCTCTACGAAGGCTAACTCTACCTGAAGGTTTTGCTGTTCCGGTTTGGTTTTATGCTCTTTATTTTTACTATTACTACTCTTTTTTTTTTTCTTTTTTTAACTTGCTTTAAGACATAAGCTCTCACCAAAGAGGAAGAAAGAGAGAAAGTGAGAATGGATGGATGGCCATGCTACAATCCCTTCTTCATTCTCCTCTCAGGAACTTGGGCACATATGCACACGCTCCTGGCATGTTCAGAACTTGCAGAAAGCCATGTAGGATCCAGCCACTTTAACCAGCACACCACCTTCTGGCCCAGTTTTCTGCTATTTTTAATAACAAGGCTACTTATAATCACTACTAGGAGTAGAAAAAGAGAAAACCACCTGGCTATTTGGAGGGAGAATGTTCCAGGCAGAGCTTATCAGTAAGTGCAAAGGCCCTGAGCCAAAAACGCAATGTTGAAATGATGGCAGTTAGGCCAGTATGACTGAAATGATGAGTCTGACTTACAGTTAATGTGTACCGATGCTACAGGAAAACACCCAAGTCCAACACTTCAAGAATGGGAGGACAGATCTGAATAAATATACAGGAAGGCTAAACTTTAAAGTGTTTGACTAAACGTTTAGTGTTATCAAAATTACAACAGGGAACCAGCAGTTAGCGTAATGGCTATGTCGCTGGACTCCCACGTAGTCGACCGCGGTTCGTGTCCTGAACCCGGTGGCTTAAAAACTCACGCCAGGCGCGTGTGCATGCGTGCCCAAGATCCCAAGAGGAGAATGGAGGAGAAGGGATTGCGGCATGAGCATCCTCCCTGGGGGGCGATTTGTCGCTTTCTGTCTCTAATGTCTCTCTCTGTCTGTCTGGCAAGCGCACGCGCCCTATCGTGAAAAATCTCTCCAGAAAAAAAAAAAAAAAAAAATTACAACAGAAAAATCTTGGAAAAGAGACAAGAAATAAAGATCCAAAAGTGACTTTAACGCTTCTGATAAGAATTTCAAAAGAGGTGGCATGGTGGTTAAGAGCATTGGACTCCCAGATGGCCGACCGTGGTTCAAGTCCCGGATGTGGTGGCTTGCTTTCTCACCCAACCCCCTAACCTGGTCAAAATAAAATAAATAAAATTAAATAAATTTTTTTTTTTTTTAAAAAGAATTAACCAAGAGGGGGACCAGCAGATGGCATAGTGGTTGTGTCACTGGACTTCCACACAATGGACTGCTGTCTGAGTCCCATACCCAGTGGCTTCAAACTCACACCAGGAGCAAGTGCATGTGTGCCCAAAGTCTCAGGAGGAGAAGGGATTGTGGCGTGGCCATCCCCCAGGAGGGTGGTCTTTTGCTTTCTGTCTCCATCTATCTTTCCAGCGAGCACTCATGCACTACAGCAAAAATCTCTCTTAAAAAAAAAAAAAAAAATTAACCAGGAGGTAGGGCTTAAGATCAATGAAAGAGAAGTCTCACAGAGGCGTGCATGGAGTCAGGGTGCCATTCCAAATCAGTGGTCATGGGCCCGTAATGAAATCACAATTTTAACTCTTATCCATTGTTTAAAAGAATGCTAACAAGATAACAAAACAGCCAAGGCTAACACAACAGCCAACAGAATCTACAAACATCCTCGAAAAACTAGGGACAACAATATTATGAATCTGAGGTGTACATTTTTCTAAGGACTATCCAAAGTTTTTAAGAAAATTCTTTTTTTTTCCAGAGGTTTTTGCTATAGGGTATGTGCGCTCGCCAGACAGACAGTGAGAGTCAGAGAGACAGAAAGTGAAAAATCACCCCGTGGGGGATGGCCACACTGCAATCCCTTCACCATTCTCCTTTCGGGATCCTGGGCATGCACACACAAGCACCCGGCCTGAGTTTAAGCCCCCAGGTCCAAGACTTTAACTGCAGTCAACAACATGGGAGTCTAGCAACACAGCCATTACGCCAACTGCCGGTCCCAGAAAATTCTTAAAAAAAAAAAAAATAAAACTAAGATACTCCCCACTCCCAGATGAAAACCTATTAGTTTCTATAGGAACTGTGTGGGGAATACTTAACAGATTTTCAAAGGCTATTTGGTAATACAATACCCACAAACCAAACTGTAATTGACTGTTGATAATTACAAAGAAGCCCATGTGCTTATTTTTCCTTAAAGTCTACTTAAGTATTTCCTGAGGTAAGCAAACAGTAGGAAGGTAGGTAGGTATGAGCTAGGGAATGAAGCCCACTACTACTGTAGTTTATTATGAAATATATACTTGTGGTTTCAAAAAAAAGGGGGACAAAATTCCTGAGAATCTAGAAAAACAGAAGGCTAAAAGGTTTCTCCCTTTCACTTCCTCTCCAGCCTCCTCCCAGTTGCTCCCAAGAGGAAATGAGAGCCAATGACTTTTATGAAAATAACTGCTGTCACCATGATCTATCCTCATCACACTCAACCAACCCTTCACCTGGAAACAATGTGAATGGTAACAGTTACGTGAGATGGAAGAGGTCTTCAAATACCCCATATTCACCAGAGCAGTTTTTTATACATTGGATGTCCCCCAAAGTTTTGTCTAAAAAAAGGGAAGATAGCCTATTAACAGATACATTTACTGTAATTCCAAACAAATGGGAGAATGCTGAAGGCCCCATTTTCTTTTACTAGACTTTAAGTATTCAACAGGAAACCATTTCCCTTCCCCTAATTCTTCTGTTTAAAGCCGCAGTCCTTATGAGGAAGCACTCACCTACATTCTGCCTCTTCCTACTAGATTACCAACACCCTTGGGGGGAAAAAAAAATCAGAAAATAAAAAATTACGGAGGCAGGGGGGCTAGCTGCAGTTGTGCAGGCAGCAGGGCACTGCTGTAGGATGCTGGAGTCACAGAAGAGGCCTGAGTTTGGATCCCAGGTCACCCTGAACATTCCAACTAAGTAAGTGCCTAAGCACTCCTGATCCTGACTGGTTGGGAAACTGGGGAGAGGATATGGACCTTTCTTCTGTCACTCGTGGAAGAAACTTTTTAAAAAAGTGTAGGTACATGGTTAAGAAACAAGCTAGTATGTCTAACTTAAGCTCTCAATAAGACACCTGAAGATAAAAATACCTGGCATGCATTCCTAAAATGAAAGGTTCTGGGTACCTGAAAATCCCTCTTTGTACTCCAGAGCATACCATTTCCCCACCTCCTTTGTGTGCAGGTGAGACCAATGAAGCCTCTCCAGGATCAGAACAATCTGCTTCCCAATAATCAACAAAGTATAAACCTTTAAAAAGCAGGAATCCTGCACAGGAGACCCAGTAATGCTTCAGATTCTCTACTATGTAGCAGGACACAGGGCACTAAGAACACTGAAACATCTGGTCCATGACTACTGGCAAGCCTCCAAGTACTCCCCTCACTATCATACACTACCGTGTGGGCAGTGGAAAGGTAGGTGTTGACATTTTGTTACTGAATAAAACAAACTTGGTTAACATTAACTATTTACTCTTGTACAGATTCTATCAACCTATACAACATAGTTTTAAGATTTGAAATATTATGGCTAGCCAGTGGGATGATGGTTAAGGTGGCTGGATCCCACGTGGTCAACAGCACAATTCGAGTCCCAAACCCTAGAGGCTCGAAAACACGCCGGGCGTGTGTGTGTGTGCATTCCCAAAATTCTGGAAAGAAAACAGAGAAGGGATTGTGGCATGACCATCCCACATGGGGGAAGAAATGATCCCTCACTTTCTGTCTGTTTCTGGCAAGAGCATGTGCCCCGTGGCAAATATTTTTAAAAAGAAAAAAAAAATTGTTTTAAGTGCTAAGCTGCTGGAAAGCAGATGGCATAGAGATTAAGGCGCTAGATCCCACATAGCTAAACCTGTGGGTTCAAGTCCTGGACCTGGTGACCTGAAAAACATGCCGAGTGCAGGTGCATGCCCAAAATCTTGAGAGGAGAATGGAGAAGGAATTGTGGTCTGGCCACCTCCCCTAGGGCGAGATTTCTCTCTCTCTCTCTCTGGCGCGTACATGTGCCTGATGACAAAAAAAAAAAAAAAAAAAAAAAAAAATCTATATATAAAAAAAAGTGTTAAACTGTATGTTCTGCCACAGTCAGGCTTTGGGGAATAGTGATTAGTGAATCACTTCACTAGTCACAAATTTCTACAGAAGAGGCATAAATCCTTCCCTAGAGAAACTTAAAACTAGACCAAACAAGTAAGTCTGAATACATTCTTACCTCTAGGGACTAAGCCACCTATCTCCCTTCACTCAGATTTCTACTGTACAGGGGCATTTTTTTAAATATTACAATGGACCGTTAAGAGCCACTTGCCTTAGAAAAAGGACAACTTTGTTTCCTGAGAAAAATACATCGATTCTTACTGTAACTCTGTCCAATATAAACATAATCCCTTGTTGTCTACATTTATTTTGGGGCCAGCATCAGACTTCTTGATAAAAGAAATGCTATAGGGTCCCACAAAAGGGATTTTCAAGTGGACAGGAAATTAAAGGTCTCCTTGATTCTTCCTACGGGGTAGGGAGGAAAAAGGAAAAAACTACCTCAACTAGTTCTTTTTACCTACTCTGAGAAACTGAAGTCAAGCCTCTGTGGAAGGTAAAATTCTCATCTAGAAGGTTATAACGTAGTTATGACAATACTGTTGAGACCAATTTAACTGGCACTTAAACAGAATCACATGCAGGGCCAAAAGATGACATGGAAGTTGGGGCATTGGATCCCACATGACTGGCTTCACAGTCCCAGACCTGGTAGCTTGAGACTCATATATGCACGTACATACCCAAAAAGGAGGAGTGGAGAAGAGATTGTGGCATGGTCATCTCCCCTGGAGAGTGACTCTTCATCCCCCACCACCCTCCACCCCCATCTCTCTCTGGTGTGCACACACACCCCAGTCAGTGATTGGTGACTGGTCTGATGCTGAAGCCAAACAGGAAGGCCCAGTGTCAGATTCCCAATCTTTCCTTTTAGGAGAGATATCTGCTATATGGTGCGTGTGCTTGCCAGAGCAAGCGAGCGAGCAAGTGAGCAAGCAAGCGAGCGAGAGAAATCACCCTCCAGGGAAAATGGTCAATGCCACAATCCCTTCTCCTCACTTCTCACAAAATTTTGGGCACACATGCCCATGCGTCCAGCATGAATATAAACTGACCGATCCAGGACTCAAACCTCAGTTGACTACGTGGGAGTTCAGCGACATAACCCTTAAGTCATCTGCTGGTCCCCAGATTCCCAGTCTATCATGGCAGACTGGGAAGTTCCAGGGAAGATCACAGCATAGCAGGACCAGCTGGACGTCCGTTTCTCTCTCACAAAAAAAAAGAAAAAAAGCCAAAGAAATAAAGAAAAAGCCAAAAGAGATATTGTTACTTGTTGAACCCCAGACTTCCGACTCAAAATGGTCTGACCAGAACAGTGGTTTAGATAAAGCAGTGATCTGTATATAGCTAGATAAAACTACCCTAACTAAATTTCCTTTACTTTTTTATTCCCAGTCTCTTCTGCTTCTTGACACACTCATTCAATTTTCCTCCCTAAACGTCCTCTAGAGTATTAAAAACTCACTTCTTTCAGAGAACTACACAATGAATAAGAAGTGCACAGAACAAAGAACTTTTCTAACTTTCAAGGCTGCACATCCCACACTCCAATCACATTTGCAAGATCACCACTGGGTTTGCATAAAAATAGGTGTGACCCCATGAGAGTCAAGTGGGGGAGAGAAAAAGATTACCTTACGGAGGATGAATGCACGAACAAGGAAGAATAAGATTCCGGACATAATACCAGACAGCAGTGGAGAGACGAACCAAGACATCACTAGAATAGAACACATTAAAAAAAAAAAAAGTCAACTACTGAAAATCAAGAGCAAAAACACCTTACATGTTTACACTCTATTTTTAAAACTCTTAAGTCTGTCCCTCAATTTTATACTGTATTCTCCCACATACATAACCTGACAATAAACATATGACAAAATTTAAGAAGCCATTCAGAATTAAAACATACCAATTTTTATCAGCTCAGACCACTTGACACCCTTCTGCCCATGTGCCACGAGGGAAAAACCAATGGTTGCACCAACAATACAATGGGTCCCAGAAATGGGCAGCTTCAAAAATGAAGCCACTAGTTGCCACACAGCAGAGCCTGGAACACAATCAAGTTTAATTAAGTAAATTCCATTATGTAAGCAATGCATTCCAAAGAAAATAATCCAGAAGGTACAGATTATGGAACCACTCATGATACAAATCTGCTCACCCACCACTAAGAGGACAACACATAAAATAAATAAAAACCAACAAGAAACTTACCAAACATAGCACTGACTGAGCCGGCCATCAGGTCCGTCGAGTTGTATATCTCCACGTCAATCAGGCCCTTCCTGATAGTTTCGCTCACTTTGGCCCCCAGTAAGACCGAGCCCACGGTTTCAAAGATGCTAGCTAGGATGCAGGCTTGCTTGAGGGTCACTACACCTGAGCCCACAGCTGTACCAAACGAATTTGCTACATCATTGGCTCCCACAGAGAATGCCAAGACAAATGCAATAACGAAGCCCAGGATGAGCATCCATAGGTGGTTCGGTGAACTAGAAGCAGCAGTAGCAGCGATAGTACTGGTGATCATCAGCGTTGCTACGGTAGATGCCATTCTACAGTAGTGGTTGTTTTTAATTAACAAGAGAATTACTGCGCGGCTTTCAAGATGTGTAAACAGAATATGAGGTATCAAAAATGCTATAATAAATAATATATATTATATAAAATTAAATACTGTAAACCACGGCACAGAAACCGAGCTGGGGAGTTACTGCTATACGCTGCGTATGGGCGTCTGTTGTCTGGGGTTTCTTTGGCTCTGGAGGGCTAAAAGCACGGAGCAGAATTCCATGGCGGGGAAGAGAAAGGACGCAAGTTCATCCTGGGTGAATGGGGAGAAAACAACAATAGCGGCGCAGCCCTGCAGGCCAGCCGGCCCCGCACCGGCCCGGCCCTCCGCCCA